AAGTGCCTCTTGCAATCCTACACTACTTAACAAAACTTTTCTGTGGGTTTTTTATATGGCTGGGCTTCCTCCCCCCCCCCCCACCAACCTCTATACTTCCCCACTCTGGAAATAACAGGAATAGCAGGGACAGGGGAGAGGAAACAAGCACCTTTTCAAAGCATGCAGTTTCAAGGATGACTCACTTTGTTACCTCATTAATGAATGACTACAAAGAAGCAGAGAGAACAGCTATCTGCCCACCTCTTGACCCCCCTCATCCGATCCAACTTACTCCATGGAGTCGATGATTTTTTTTGGCTCCACAGGGCATGGATAGATGACTTCATCGATGTGCTTCAGGTTACAATTTGAAAAGGCTGTAGAGATATGTATGAAGGCTTCAAGCTTTGGCATCTGACTGGCCATAAGCAAGAGCTGCTGGGTGGCAGTGACATTAAGTTGCACGGCATGCCTGCAGAAGGTTAAGCAGAAGGAAGAACAATGAGGCAACCCAGCACCCTGCCTTGCTGGAACTGTATCTACTCCAATAACTTGCATGTCCATCTGGCTTTTGTGGCTGCACCAAAGGACCGGGAAGATTGGGCGCCTGGGTGGCTCAGTCAGTTAAGTGTCTGACTTTGGCTCAAATCCTGATCTCACGGTTCGTGGGTTTGAGCCCAATGTCAGGCTCTGTGCTAACAGCTCAGAGCCTGGAGCCTGCTTCAGATACTGAGTCTCCCTCGCTCTCTTCCCCTTCCCCACTCACGCTTTCTCTCACTCAAAAATAAATAAAACATAAAAAACAAAAACAAAAACAAAAAAGGACCATGAAGAAAAGTATGGGTCATGGCTACAGTTACGTGATGCCTGGAATGTGTTATATGTTGATTATGCATTCTGTGCACATAAATCCTATTCATAGAAGCATTGTGCATAGTGCATGTAGATATCACTTGGTTCTAAATCAGCCGGAAGGGGGGAAAATCATAATCCTATGAATTTGTAAAGGGGCTTCTCAAGCAGCCATTAAAAATATAAAAATACATAAACCGAGCCTTTGACTCAAGAAGCTGGAAAATTCAAATAAATTGTAGGGGAGCAACAGTGGATATAGAATGAGAAAGATACATTTCTCTTGCAAAGGTCTGGGTCAGACATAAAAACTGATGTCAAAATCCTGAATTTTAGCTAACAGAACACAAAGTTCTATACACACAACATGTGGTGACAATGAAATAGTTGATTCTAGAAGTAATATGGCTTATATAATATTAAGAACCCTATTAATCTAACTAAAAAAGAAAAACTAAATGATCTTCTATATGATTTTGAAAAGTTTAAAAATGACATTCAATATCCATTGCCAATTTATTTCTTAAAAATTCACTAAAACAAGAATAAAATGATTAAAGTATGTCTGTTTCACTTTGCTGGCTTGTATCTTGCTTCATGGTGAAAAGTTAGGAACACCCCTTTTAAAGTCAGGGCCAAGAAGGATGCTTACAGTCACTACTGCTAACTATTGTTCTAAACTTCCACCTTGTAATTAGAGAAGAAAATAAAATTGACTAACAGATACAAAAATTATAAAGACAGTCACAAAAATTGCGATCAGATTACATAATTGTGTTTCTGGAAAACAAACAAAAAAGCTAAAACAACTATCCTGGGATATGCAATAATTCATTCAGTAAGGTGTCTATTTATAAGGTTATGTAAAAGGAAAAAAAACTGGAGAATATAATGGAAGAAAGGCACACATTCAAAGCTGAACATTTGAAAAATATGTCAAGTGAATAATAAATAAATGGGATATATAAAGAAAATTATAAAACTTCATGGAGGGTCATACAAATTGAATAAACAATACATTGTTCTTGATAGGAAGAGAAAATGGTTTAAAGATGTTAAGTTTTTCTAAATCAGTTGACATATTCAAGGTAATCCTAATCAAAATCCCAACTTTTTAAGAACTTGGGAAAATTATTCTAAGTTTAATCAAGAAGTATAAGCAGATGAGAATAGCAAGGAAAATTCTATAAAAGGTGAATGATGTGTGTATGCTTGTCTAATAACATAAAAATTACAGTAATAAAATACTGTGGTATTGGAAGAGAAAGGCTAATTAATGGAACAAAATAAAGAGCTCAACAATGGAAATTTAGTATATGAGTTCATTTTAAATAAAGAGTAAAAGCAAGTCATTTAATAAATGTTGCTTAAGAAGTAGCCATCTGTTAGAATTTTTCTCAAAAGCTACTCTACATTCACACCCACACCACTTTTCTTTTTATAGAATTTTCTTATTTCTCTTTACAGGCAAATAAACTTTAAATGGGTCAAAGACTTAAACATGAATATGAAGCAATAAAAATTCTAGAAGAAATTATGAATAACTGCATAAATAATAAAAATAGTTGAGGGCAAATGATAAACTGTTAAAATATTTTGGGCCTTATAAAAGACAAAAAATTAGTATGCTAAGACTTCCAAGAAGTCGTAAAACTGACAAGAGAAGAGTGTTTCAATAGAAAAACAGTCAAAGAACATGAATCGGCATTTCACGAAAGAATAAAATGCCAATCCGCATTTCAGCATCTTCAACTTTTCTAATCAAAATATGCAATGGCATTTTCATTGCATTGGCAACATTAAAAATAATTAAAGGATTCTAACACCGTGCTATTCGGGTGTCAGAAATCAGCATTCATGCACACAGGGACAATTACTTCAATCACGCCTTTTTGGAAAACAATTTATCATTAACTGTTAAACATTAAACATAAACTGTGGGCATTATCTGGTACATCTCTAACAATTTTACTTCTGGACATTTCCCCAAAGTAAAGCACACAAGGATTTACAAAATGCGAGCACAGAGATGTTCATTGAAGAGTTTTTTATAATAGTGAAAAATTAGAATAATCCAAAAATATCCACTAAAACAGAACTGGTTAAGTATATTATATACACATACAATGGAATGTCATGTAGTCATTTGAAATTACAAAAGAATATTTATTGACAATGAAAGACATCCAAAAGTAGAATTGAGCAAATTGCTAAAACATTATCAGTATGATGCCATTATTTTTTGGCAAAGTTGGACATAAATCTATTTTATTATGGATGTGTAAAGTAAAGTTGGAATGGTTATCTCTGGATGGTGAAATTTTTGGAGGAGTTTTACTCCTTTATATTTTTACTTATTGAGAATATATCTATACATATATATATATATATATATATATATACTTGTTTGCTTGTTTGTTTGTTTGTTTATTTATTTATATTTTAACAGAGACCACGAAGGAACTCACACGCACGTGCATGCACACACATACGTACACATACAAGCTGTGAGACGAAGAATGTACCTCAGAGGATCATCAAAGCGCACAGTGGCCGCACAGTGGAAGATAATGTTCGTGCAGGAGAGAAGCTCCTGCATGTCCTCCTTGCTGATGGCGAAGTCATTCTGATTGAGATCTGCGTAGATCGCTCTGATCTTCTCATGCACATTTGGACAGACTTCTTTGACCTTTTCAAACAGCTAAAACATAAATATAAATCAATATGCAGAGAGCGGCATCACCACATTTCGCTGACTTGTTTCATGGTCATTTCCCAAACCTGGTTTTGTTTGTAATATCACTCAAAGAAGGCATTTACTCAAGAGCCATTTGTTTTACTTCACGTGATTCGGTCAGTATAGTACAATTTCCGCTCCTCTTAATTTGATAAACGTTAAAAAAAAAAACAGTTTTAATTACCAGTAAGGAGCATCTTTTGAACTTTCCCTGCAGGGTGAAGGAAAGGTGAAGTCATTTGTATCCCACCCCATCCTCTTTTCCCCTACAAGGCAGCTTTGTGTTCATACCTTGGTGATTGTTTCCATTTGGGGCTGGGAAATGTGCTTTTCAGCGCAAAAGGACCAGCCTTTACCAAGTACCAGCAAAATCACAGGCCTTTACAAAGGAGGTCTTATGGGCACAAGTTCAAAACAACTTGGTTAACTGGCCCAGATGAACAAGATGTCTCAGCAGCACAAACATAATTAGAAAATAACAAATGAAGCAACTTTGTACTGGGTAAAACAAATAAAACTTTTATATAATCTCATTCTAATATCAATGGTGGTTATTGTCTAGTAAGACAATTACATGAGTCTATGTACTTTATATGGGATTTTAATTGATTTCTTAATATTCTAATTTATTTATAAAGGGAAAAGGAATGAGCACTGGCAGTTTTAGCTTTTATTACAATTACTCAGATGGAACAGTCTCTCCTTTCCCCTCCACACAGAAGTCCTGAGGTTAAATTGGTATTTCCCATTTTCTCAGCAAACACAATTTTAATAAAATGGTCTTTGCTTCAACTATTCTGTTAAAATGAAATTTTACTGTAGAATTGGTATGGTATGTGGACAGTGAGGAAAAGTAAGGCTGAATGTTTTAAAAGGTTAGGAGCAGAGAAAATTAGTCTGTGGTTTTAATCATAATACAGTAGCAGAGACTGCCCTCTGTTTTTCTTCAATCCAAAAGAATGTTTTCAGGATCATCTTTGATCCTGAGTAGCAGGTTTCTTCTCTCCATTAGAGATCTACCCTAAGCTTTTTAAATTGAATAGTAAGAAGTTAATCTTAGGTAGTCAGAGGAATCATGTCTCATCTGAATCAGGCAAGACCACGTTCAGTTTTCTAGGTGTGCAAGATGGTTTGGCATTGATCTAGCTGCATTTCAGGGACGAGAGGCAAAAAAACAAAAACAAAAACAAAAAAACAAAAAAAACCTTCCAGGCTGCTCCGCCATCTTGGTCTCTCCTCAGGCATGACCGTGTTCATTTGCCCTTCTGGGAATCCAGTGAAGGTGACCAGGGAAGGAAGTCAAATTCACACACTGGTGTGGCAAGTTAATAAACTCCTATCTTTGACCTATCGTCTTCCTGCACTGCAGGATCAGCCTTTTCAGTAGGGTGTTAACTACACTTCTGAAAAGAATTTGGAAGTTAAATCACTCCTCAATGCTTTTTCTGACATTGGGATTGATGTGTCTAAGGGACCTTCTCAATAAAAGTCATTCTAGTTCTTCCAGAAAAGTTTTTAACAGCTTTTCTAATCCTGATGAATCATATGCATGTTAAATACTATTTTTCACAATCAAACGCTTTCCTTCTTATAGTCCATGTTACTCATACAACGAATTGGGTATCTGGGGATAAATTTACCTAAAATTCACACAATTCCCCCCCTTTTAATAAATGGATTTGTAGAAGGCTCTTTTTTGAGTCTACATGACAGATTTCATTCACAAGAAATTTATTCAGGGTTTCTGTGGAGTCTTTGACTTTGGCCTGTGTTGACTTCTGGCTACATAAGAGTATTAGGTGGAAAATGACTTGTGTGTCCATCCTTCCCGCAGTGGGGTTCCTCACACATGAGGTAAGCTACTACACATAGATTTTCCTTTGCCTTCACTTTTATGACTTTAAAAGCAGAGAATACTGTTATGCCAATATTGTACTTTCAGATCACCTGTGCAATGTCAAAATACCACATTTACCGCATTATTATTTTAGGAGATAATTACTATTACAGGAGATAGTGTTCCAATCTATATTCTATTTATTAATTTACATTTATGAGAGGGCATATCTGAGTGAACACAGTGTAATTTATTTTTTAAAATATCTAAGTTTTCTAATCCAGATGGCATTTATTATGGTTAATTGGAATAAATCAGTGAATTGGCTGCATCAGTTCAAACCATAGTGCTAAGTGAGGGTCACATTTTACGATATCCAGGCCCAAGAATACGACTGGTCTCATCTGGACTCTCACTGTTTTGCTACAGCCTCTAACAAAACAATACTTAAATAGAGTGATGAGATTACAGCCAACTGCCATCCAACAGGTCAGTGCTTTTCATAGTGTTATCCACAAGTGAACTGCATTGAAATCACCAGAATACATGTTAAAAATGCATATCTCTAGAGCCCATCCCACACCCACTAAATACAAAATGACGGGGGCACACCAGGAGTTTGATTTCACGTCAAGTTCCCTGGCTGACTTTAACTGATCCCAAGAAAAGAACTTCTTCGGCTGGGGCGTTAACATGGATAATTGCTGGTGAACAATAGTGTATGACTCATCTTCCTTTATAATTGTCCAGACCAGTTACAGGGCATCAGTGGTTTTCAACCTGTGTAGGCCTAAGAGAAATCTAGGCACCGGTTAAGAATGACTTCCTTACTCTAAGCTCAGAGATCCTGACTCAATAGGTTTGGCATGCAACCCAGGAAGCTGTATTTCTTTCTTTTTTTTTTTAATTTTTTTTTTCAACGTTTATTTATTTTTGGGACAGAGAGAGACAGAGCATGAACGGGGGAGGGGCAGAGAGAGAGGGAGACACAGAATCGGAAACAGGCTCCAGGCTCTGAGCCATCAGGCCAGAGCCCGACGCGGGGCTCGAATTCACGGACCGTGAGATCGTGACCTGGCTGAAGTCGGACGCCCAACCGACTGCGCCGCCCAGGCGCCCCAGGAAGCTGTATTTCTTAACCAGCTCCACCGACAGGTCTGATATCTAGGTACCATACTTGGTGAAAATTAGTTTTGAAAGTTTGTGTCCATTTTTAAAGTCAGGGGCTTAAATTACCCCCTCTGGTTGGTAAATTCCTTGATTCTTGTTTATTTCCTTATGCTTGACTGCACCCAGTTCATTGAAAAGACTCAAATGTTGCTTGTTAAATTGAAATGAATTACTGTAAGAACAGTAACAGAACCATGAATGGGAGCTAAATTCCTGAAATCCTTTGGTTACCAGCTCTTTTGTGTTGGTGGGATGAAAGACAGAGGACAACTACTACAAGTAGAAGGAACAAAGTGTTCCCTTGGGTCCTCTGCATTGACTGCAAACGTGGCTGGAAAGGATCAGCATAGAACCTTCGCTTTCGTAATAATGACAAAACCGGAGGACAGAGGAAATGTTGCAAATGGGTCCTCAGTGGACACCAGCTCTTCTGAAAGTTTCTTTTGCTGATGTGAGACATTCACTAAAGGTAAGAAAAAAAACAGATGGAACAAAAATGAGCGAAGAAAAGAAATTTTAAAAATTTCACTGAAGATCCACCAATAAGGAACTTCATATAATTATTTTAGGTTCTAAGAGTTTATCATATTCCTTCTCATATATATTTTATTTAACGGCACAGGAGTGAGAAGGTAAAGAGCAAGTAATTACCTGCCATATATGAAAACTCAAGCAGAGGACTGCTGTGTTTCCATTTTCTGAAACCCTTTTCTTGACAAAGGCAGGACACTTCTGTGGTCACTGGAAGAGCACAGCTGAGAGGCGATCTAACCATTTCAAACTGATAATAAAGCTACACATTTCTCTTGGAAAGTGTAGGAGTGTTCTATTGATTCGATGTTACACAGACAAGTATTTCTCTCTCTTAATTTGTTTTAAACACAAGAGATTATTCCATTTATGGCAATAGTTACTGACAGCCCAGAGGCAAGAGAGAAACTCTGCAAATCCGAAATGAGAAAATTCAGCAGAAAGAAGACAAGAGACATTTTCTGGATTCAATAATCTCCTTGGGTAGGACATCTGTAGGCAGACACTACAACTCTGTTTTTATTAGAAGCAGGAATTGAACAAGGGGTGGGGGTGGGGGCATGATATTTATGTTATGCTTTTGAAACAATGTAGATGTCCTGAACTTGGATTTCTACAATCAACTTTGTTACCCACATGACCTGACTTTGGAGATATCCACAGGGGATTCAGTTGCTACTTCCCAGGGGAACATGGAAAGGCATAATATCTTTAATAATCATGAGAATCTTTGATCTTTATTCAATGTACTGACTCCCTCTTTTCAGATATAACTATGTTATTTAGTTCCAGTAGCCCACAAAATTTGCCTACTATTGTTAATTGGGGGAAAAAAGGTAAGGTCCCTTAACCTAAAGGGCAATCTCTGTGGAGCACCAGGGGTCCAAAGCAGAAAAGAGCTTACAACATTTTTGGGAGAAATTTTGGAATGCTGTGTAAGGGCAAATCAACAGATTCTGCAAGTTAGCTCTTGAACAAGAAAGACTTACAAAGAAAGGATATAATCTAAGTTGAAAACAGTTAAACACAAATAAGTACAAGTAAACTAAGGCAGAAACTATCATGAAAATTTACAAAATGTTAAGATTTTGCTAGTTCACGAATAACTCTCCTAAGATATAAAGGATTAACGTAGAAGTTTTTATTACCTCAGCAAGGACCATTTCTACAGGACCATAAAGCAGTATGGTACAGCAGTGTGGTTACTGAACTTTGGCATGCAGCTGGGTTAACTAGAAAGTTGTTTAAAAAAAACAAAAAACAAAGCCCTAGGTGTCCTGAACCTGGAGATTCCAACTCAGTTCTGAGTTGAAGCTTGTGTGTCTGTACTTTGAAAAAGTTCTCCAGTGAGTCTGATATACACTGTAGATAAGAGCCCCTGGCATACTAGAAAGATCTCAGGCTCTTTGGAGTCAGGAAGGCCTGGGTTTGAATCCTACTGGTGCCATTTATTAGCTGTGTGACTGAGGCAAGTTACTCACTTCTTGGGGCCTCAGTGTTTTTATTTGCATATTCATCTAAAATGCTAATTGTTAAACTATATCATTCTGTGTTCTCAGAGAACTAATGATTCAGCATATATTCTGCTATTCTTTAATTTTTTTTTCAACGTTTATTTATTTTCGGGACAGAGAGAGACAGAGCATGAACGGGGGAGGGGCAGAGAGAGAGGGAGACACAGAATCGGAAACAGGCTCCAGGCTCTGAGCCATCAGCCCAGAGCCTGACGTGGGGCTCGAACTCACGGACCGCGAGATCGTGACCTGGCTGAAGTCAGACGCTTAACCGACTGCGCCACCCAGGCGCCCCTACTCTGCTATTCTTAAAAGCAATTTTGCATTAAAATTTTTTAATTCACTTTGCATAAAAATCTATGATAAACACCAAAGATGACACAGTGGTCAGTCTATCATCTTGTTGTTTTGTGCCCCCAAGGTAATTTTCACAGAATTCCTTGAGAATAAGTACACGGACCAAAGAGGAGGTAGGGTGGCTAGGAAGATGGAAACCAATCTTTTTTTTTTTTTTAAAGTTTATTTATTTATTTTGAGAGAGAGACAGAGATAGAGTGAGTGGGGGAAGGGCAGAGAGGGAGGGAGAGAGAGAATTCCAAGTAGGCTCCACACTGACAGTGCAGGGCTCAAACTCATGAACCATGAGATCAAGACATGAGCCAAAACCAAGAGTGGAACGATTAACCGACTGAGTCAGTCAGGCGCTCCGATGGAAACTAATCTTAAACTTACTTCCACTCTCTACAGAATTGGTGGCATCTCTGCATTCTCCAGGCTAACGGATGGGTAAAGTGGTGATACTAATCCAGAGGTGGCCATGGTTTTCCCTTCCTAATGAAGTGGTCATCATTGGGAAGTATAATGCCTGGAGAGCAAGGCTTACTGCCAAGACAACCAGGGCTTGGAGGATGCAGTTTCTTGGGGAGGCAATGCAATGTGGTGGGGAAGGTGTAAGCTTTACAGGTAAGAGAACAGTGTTTAAAATCTGTGTTACTTCCTTGGGATTTCCTTAGATAGGCGACAACCTTTCTTGGATTAGTTTGTCATCTGTGAAGTAGCAAGAAAGCATTCCACAGAGTTGTGTGAGGGTCAGATAGGGTCAGGAAAGTCAGATGCCTAGCATAGTACTTGCTACTTCAGTTCTTGATAATAGGAAAACTCCTTTTCCACATATACAATAATACTCAGTTTTCAAGAGCTGCTAATCAGATGGGTGTGTGTGTGTGTGTGTGTGTGTGTGTGTGTGTATTTGCTGGGTCGTTGAAAGGTTTCTGATTATACCATGTGATCCGGATACCTCTGCAAACTGAATGTATTCCAGAGTCAAGTTGAATCTTGTGGCTTGATGACTTTTTGAGTGAAATGAGTACGGGCAATTTGAAGCTTTTAAGAAAGAGACCTGATATCACTGGAAGAAATTGAAAAAGAAGGAAAGAAGTTGGATGTGTGAAATCATGCCAGAGATTGAATTACCTAGTAAATTGTATTGCAAAAGAAAATAAGAGATTGGGAAAATAAATTGCTTCTGCTTCTGGGACTGTTATTATATCCCCAGGACTAAATCAATTTCTTTAATTTTTTTTTTTTTCTTAAGAGAAAGGAAATGACCCACAGGGGGTTGGCTTAACATGCTTCAACTAATCTGAGTTGAGTAACTGTCAGACTGAAGGCCATTTACACTCTTTTAAAACTGTGTATTTCTTAATCATGGGAAATTTAAATTCCTGGCAAGATTATATTCTAATTGTCCTAAGTTCATAGAATCCTCTTGCTTTTTGTGGGATGGTTTCTCAGGAAAAATAAAATCTAGTAACGGAACAAAACTGGCTTTGGGAATTTAAAATGCAAACTTCTGTTTCCAATTGCCTTTGCCTTATATAGAGATTTAATATATTAAATCAGAACCATTAATGCCAATCAGAAATTCATTTTTGAAAGTTGGGAACAAGCAGATCTTACACAGGGTAGCCTTGAACCAAGCATGAAAACGCCTTTTTTCCTCATGAAAATTTGAAAATTTGAAAATTTTGAAATTTTGAAAATTAACAAGGAACTTCTACGCAAAATGAAATGAACATTTCTGTTGAGTGTTTCTTAATACTTAACAACGTCAGATTGT